TTGTCGTCGTGGTTGGGCCTCCGCCAACTTGATTGCAGTGCGAAGAAGTCTCGAGCGACAGCGCCGTTCCTGAGTTCGGGGGGCCTCTCTGGCCAGGGTGCCTCGGGGTAAATTGTAGGGAACTATCGAGCGGGAGCCGTTGTCATTGTAGCCGGGCCTCCAAATGCGCACATTTTCACTCAAGCCAACGCTCGCGCGGGAGCCTCGCTTTCAGAGAACATGCAGCTGGCGTCGGGGCGAGAGCGCGCGGAACCGTTTCCGGTGATCAGCCACATTTAGTCTCTAGACATGGATGTTATACAATACTCGCAACAACCAGACACAACAACAGCAACCGCAATCATTTTAAGACTGTTCGCTCTTATCTGTTCGCGTGTCATCCAATATGTATATCCCGAACCCTGGATACCCGCCCTCTTCGTCTTCGATCGTACCCCCTTTTTGGGGTTATATTCGTTCCCTGCCACGTGTGGTTGGTGAAACCCTTGAAAACGACGGGTTGCAGATAACGGGGGAGAATGAGGACGAAAGGATCGGAGGAAGTGAGGGGAGGGGCAAGAAGGAGGGAGGACGATGATTTGCGCTGCGAGTGGCGATTCAGCTTGCGCCATGGCTTGCGCCAGCCACTCCAACACAGGTTAACAATAAGTTTCGCCATTGGGCGCGCCATAAACAGCGCCACGTACCACCCCCTTGAAAGAACATATCGTGGATACCCCCATGGGGGGACGTACAGCTGCGAACTGGTGTCAGAAACAAATTTCGTGGAACCCTGAAAAGAAGCGGGATGTTGGGAGAGTGGGGCAGAAGGATCGTGAGAACTGCAACCGTGTCGAGAGGAGCGCGGAAGCCCCAAGTGAGAGCGCGATTCTTTAAACATTGTGAGGAAGTGTCAAATGGGAGCCGCGATCCGGTGGTAAATTGCAAGGAAGTCCCAAGCGAGAGCGCGATTCTTCAATCAATTATGAGGAAGTATCAGGCGGGAGCCGTTGTTGTTGCAACCCGGGAGCCAACGACGCAGTTTGGCCCTCAAGACTTTCCCTGATCAAAAACAGGGTGCGAGCCCCGGGAAAGGCACATCAATCGAAAAAATAAGGTGCACCGAACGGGGGGGATCAACAATAATTATTCTTCAGACGTGAGAGCTCAACAACAGCAACAACAACCACAACAACACCAACAACAACATCATCAACACCAACAACAACCGCAACATCAACAACATCTGACATTCATGCGCGATGTTTCCACGCGAAGCATGCGATCATCATGCTAACAATCCCCATCATGGGGGACTATTGTTTATAGCGAGGTCCGTTAATCCCATTCCCGGATATCCCGCCCAATGAGGTATTGCAAACTGTTCCTCCGAGGAATTTCAACATATCCCGCCACGAAAACGCATGCCCGCGCCTTGGTGGGCCGATGCGACACCGCCAGTGGAGCCCCAGCCAAGGGTAAAGCACAAGGAGGTATCGAGCGACAGGATTGCCTTGGTGGGGATGGGTTCTGTCGGCGGCGAAGCAAGGACCTGGCCCTGAATAGAAAAGGGAGGAAGTCTTGAGCAGGGCCGCTGTTGCTGTTGCTGCTGGGAGCGGCGCCAATGCTGAAGAGAGCAAGGCGCCAGTCCAGCGTATAACGAAACGACGTCTCGAGCGGGAGCGCTGGTTTGTTGGGACGGCGGTTGTCGGCGGCGAGGAGGAACACCGCCTTGAGCAAGAAAGGAGGAAGTCTCGACCGGGAGCCGTGGTTTTGTCGGGACGGGGGCTGTCGGCGGCGAGAAACAGCACCGTCCTGAGAAAAAAAGGAGGGAGCCTCGAGTGGCAGCGGGAACGTTGTTCTTGTTGGGAGCGGCGCAAATTCAAAAGAGAGTAGGGCGCCAGCCCAGCGTAAAACACGAGGAAGCCTCTGACGGGAACGCTGGTTTTGTCGGGGCGGCGGTTTTCGGCGGCGAGGAGGAGCACCGCTTTGAGTAAAAAAGGGAGGACGTCTCGAGCGGGAGCGTTGTTGTTGCTGGGGGCGGCGCAGATGACACAAAGAGTAGCGCGCCAGTCCAAGGTAAAACGGGAGGAAGTCTCGAGCGGTAGCGCTGGTTTTGTTGGGACGGCGGTTTTCAGCGGCGAGCAGGAGCACCGGCCTTGAGTAACAAAGGAGGAAGTCTCGAATGGGAGCGGTATTGTCGTTGTTGTTGTTGTGGTTGTTGTTGTTGTTGTTGTTGTTGTTGTTGTGCCCGTTTTGGCGCCCCCCGAACCGCTCGAGCGTGAGCCTCATTTTCAATGAAAAATTAGCCGGCGCCGAGACGAGAACGCCAAAGTGCTTGGGGGGGTCCCAACAGTTATAATTGTTTAGGAATTATCACTCAACAGCAACAGCAACAATAATTTTAAAACTGTTCGCTCTTATCTGTTCGCGCGTCATTCAATATGCATATCCCAAACCTTGGATACCCGCCCTCTTCGTCTTCGATCGTATCCCCTATTGGGGGTATATTCTTTCCCTGCCACGTCTGGTTGGTGTAGCCCTTGAAAACGAAACGAAGGGCATTTTTTTGTGGGGCCACAAAGGGCGACAGCGGGGCCACTGAGGGCAGCAAAGGGGCCACGAAGGGCAGCGGGAGGGCCACGAAGGGCGACAGCGGGGCTACGAAGGGCATGCGATGGGGCCACGACGGGCGAATGCGAGCGGGGGCCACGAAGGGCATATAATGCGGGGCCACAATGGGCAGCGACGGGGCCACTGAGGGCAGCAACAGGGCCACGAAGGGCAGCGAGCGAAGGCGACCGCCGAACTAGTACGGGCAGCGAGGGGCATCGAAGGCAGCGAAGGGCAGCGAGCGGCGACTGCAGTCCCTAACGGGCTGGTCGGGCGGGCAGGCCCAGACGGGCGGGTCGTTGAAGCGTAAATTCTGCTTGAACCGCCGGGCAATATGTAGCGGGAGCGCCATTCCTGAGTGTCGAGGAGCGGCATCTGAATCAATTGTGAGGAAGTATCAGGCGGGAGCCGCGATTCGGTGGTAAGTTGCGAGGAGGTCCCAAGCGATCAATACATTGTGAGGAAGTATTGCAAGGAAGTCCTAAGCGAGAGCGCGATTCTTCAATAAATGGTTGGGAAGTATCAGGCGGGAGCCGTTGCTGCTGCAAGCCGCGGGCCAACGACACAGTTTGACCTTCAAGACCTTCCCTGATAAAAAACCGGGTGCGAGCCCGGGAAGGGCACTTCAATCGAACAAATACAATGTGCACCGGACGGGGGGGGTCAACAATAATTATTCTTCAGGAGTGAGAGTTCAACAGCAACAACAACAACAACGATCCCGTGGGACATTTTCTTGCAATTTGTTGCGAGGGGCCCGAACCTAAGGAAGGACGCTCTCGTCAGATAGTTCTTTAGCAATTTAGCACCACAAGGGGGTCCTTCAGAGCAGTTTTGCCGCTACCTGCGAATGCACGGCCGCTTCTCCTGAGAATTCTTCACAGTTTAGCATCACAAGGGGGTCCTTCAGACCCAGGTTGCTCCTACTAGCGGATGCCAGAACAGCCTTTTCGCTTGAGACTTGTTTCGGAATTCAGCATCGCATGGGGGGTCCTTCAGAACATTATTGCTGCTTCTTGCGGATGCCAGAACGGCCGTTTCGCGTGAGACCTCCTCGCAATTTAGCGGCAAGGAGAATCCGTCAGAGCAGTTTTGCTGCTACTTGCGGAGGCCCTGGGGCTGTGTGTTCGGGGACGTTTTTCAGCCCTCCAGCCCCCAGGAGGCCCCAGGAACCATTTTCTGGATTTGGGATACATGTTCGGGGAGCGCTTTTCGGCCCCTCCGCTCCCAGGGGGCCACCGGAGACATTTCTCTGTATTGAGGCATCTGTTCGGGGAGCGCTTTTCGGTCCCCCGCCTGCAGGAGGCCCCAGGAGAGGCCCTATGAGGCCCCAAGACATGTATTGGGATCCGTGTTCGGGAAGTGTTTTTCGACCCCCCGTGGGCTCCGCCCCCCTCGTCTGCGGATCGAATATGTTTGTGCACGTATGTTCCTATGGGTTGCCCCCTTTCTGGGGCTCGAGCCCTCTCTGTGTTCTACGTATGTTTATTCAAATGGGCCCAGGTCGAGGGTTCACAAGCCCCCCCCCCCAGAGAGAACGGGCCCTCGGATTCCACAGATCCCCCCCCGAAGGGTTGAGGGACTGCGACGACAACGCCGATGCCCACGCCCACGCCCACGCCGGCGCCGACGCCGAAGACGACGACGACGGCAACGACGACGACGACGACAACGACGTCGACGGCGACGACGATGACGACAACGAGCCACCCCACACCCACAGATTGATTGCATATCTGATTCAACCGCTGGCTGGTCAGACTGAGGGCGGCACTCGCAGCTGGACTCGTCAAGACTATTGCATAGGCGAAAATCCTTCAGGACGCCAAGGTATCGGCCACAGGCTCTGCTGCGTTCTAATGCGATGTGAAACCAGTACGCTGAACGAGCAACGATGAGGCGAGAAGATAGGCGGCGGCAAGCAATCGCGGGCCCTGACTTTCTTTTGTTCGGAGCTCTGAACGATGCGGCGCACAGAGGGTGCAAGGGAAGCAAAAGGGGGTGGGAGCAAAATGTGGGGGGATCCAGAGAAGCAAGTGGTGGAAGCAAAATGTAGGGGGCTCCAGTAAGACTTGGGCCCGACAACGTGCAGCAGCAACAGGCGAACACTGGATGCAAGAGAGAATCGCACACTGCATGCCTGGCGGGTGACAGAAACAGCGTGCAGCAGCATGCGACGGCGCAACGAGGCTACACCTATTTGTTGTGATTTGCTTGTTGTTTGTTTGGGCGATTTGTTTGGTAGTTTGTTTGCTTGACTGTTTGACTGTCTGTTTGTTAGTTTGTTTGTTTGTATGTTTGTATGTTTGTTTGTTTGTGTTTGTGCTTGTGTGTGGAAGCCCGTGACATCAGAGAAGGCTCGTCGGAATGCCGCCGCGCTCGCCCTGCCCCTTGCATGCCGCCCGCAGGAGTACATTGCCCACCTCCAGAACCAGATGGAGGTGAAGGTGGAGGAGGTCAACACCGAGCTAGCATGGTCCCCGAGGAAAGAGAAGCAGCACGCACATCAGTTTCGGTGGCGAATCATGGGAGCCTTGTGTGCCCTCTCAATTCCGTCTTTCGCGTCGACTGGCGTCGATGAGCGTCAGGTAGTCGATGGGATAGCGCCGATTTAGCGTCGACTGGCGTCGGTGAGCGTCGATTTAGCGTCGGTCAGCGTCTATTAGCGTTGACCAGCGCTGATTCGCAAGTGCCACCAAGATGGTGCGGGAGGGTCCCATGAGTTGCCACATAACAAAGATGCTCGGAGGTCCGTGCGGCAGAGCCCCGCCATGCGGCGCCCCCAGCGGCGCCCCTGGCGCGCTCCGCGCGCCGGGGACTCCAACACCGATCCGATAAATCCGCGCGGACCTCGAACAATTTGTCTTAATGCAGGTTTTTGTTCCTAGGTCGGTCGAGTTCCACGAACGCGGTGTCCAGAAGCTCAAGGACCACTTCCTAGGCCAGCTGGACTTCGAACGCGTGGAGGTGTTCGGCTTCCAGTCGCCCCACCGCGTGTCCACCTTCAGGTGCCTGTCGATGTCGGAGTTTCTTCAGGCGAGCCTCGAGAAGCTGCACGAGCTCATCTTCGCGGCCGACCGCGACAGCGACGACGAGGGCGTGGGCGCGGACGGGTCGCCGCACGGCATCGCGCGCGGGAACTCCATGCAGCTCGGCGGCTCGGACGAGGGCGGCCTCTCGGAGGAGATGTCCAGCACCCGGGCCAAGGCTGGGCAGGGGCCACCCCCGATTTTTTTTGCGCCGTAACAGAGTTACAGTCCACTCGCATAGTTCGGATGAGCACTTTTCCTTCGGGACCCTGTGATCCGACGTTGCCAAAAAAATACGACATCGCAAGAGATCACCGCCGGAGCCCCAGACCCCATCTGTCTGCGCCATTTTTCAAGCAGATCGATCTGTGAGGGTCCCGGGGCCCGAAACTTGGCGAGAACGCCCGCTGTGAAAAATTGCAGCGCCAGGATCTCAGGGGACCGCAAAACCCTGAGATCCGATGTCATGATTTTTCAATACGGGGTCCCCGGAAGACTCGACCCATTCCCCAGGACCGGCTTTTCATCCTGAGTCGTTTCTTGACGTACTGTCCCGAGGCCCGGCGAGGGCCCCCATGGTCCGAACTTTGCGAAACACTTCGAGTCGATACGTTGGATCTCTCGGGGTCGGCAAAGAGGGGGGTGCCTCTTCTTATTTCATTACGTCCCTGGTCCCCCCGCTGGGCCGCGCACATGCCGCCAGCCATGATTTGCGCCCTCCCCTCTTGGACGCCCCCCTGCACCCCTCTTGGATGGCCCCGAGACTCGAGTACGCCGGGACTCGGGTTAGCCGACGTTTGTTGACGAGCGCGTCCTGGATTTTGGCGGTCCTGTTTCCGTGGGGCGTTTGCAGCGGGAGCTTGCGTCAAACTTCAGAGCGTGTTTCGTCATGTTCGTGATGGCCCCTGTCAGGCCAACCCGAGTCCCCCGAATGCGAGTTTATGTCTCCCAGACAGATGGGGGCCACCCCCTATCTCTTCACGAAGAAGGGGGGAGGAGAGGAGAAGAGCCGATCCTAGGCAGAAGCGTTCGGAGGTCCGCGCGGCTGTCCTGCCAGACCCCCCCCTTCCTGCCGCTCGGGGCGCGCCAGGCGCGGCGGCGGAGGCGCCGCCAGGAGGGTCCAGCGCAGGCCCCAAGAGTGCCTGGGGAAGGTTATGTGGTGATGTAGCTGTTTCTCTCTCTGCCTCTTCCCGTCGCGAGGAACAATGCAGAAGCTTGCGGCCCCTGCGTAGCCCGGGGCTCCGTCCGAAAACGACCCAGGATGGAGCGCTGGTCCGGGGGAGGGGGCCCACGATGTGGTCAACTCACGGTGTCGGATTGTTTTGTTCTTTCTTTTTTTTTGCAATCCTTGGGTTTTTTTGTTTTTTTTTGGGGGGGGGGGGTGTTTTTTTTGGGGGGGGGGGGTTGCAATCCTGGGTTTTTTTGGGGGGGGCATGCAGGCCTGGGAGGAGGACGAGTCGCCCCGCCGCGCTCCGGAGCGCCTCTCAAGAGGAGCGCTCGGGAGCTCTCCGCAGCGGCCGCCTTGTCGGACACGCTCTCCGGGCCCGCCGGCGATGAGAGATTCCGGGCTCGTCCCAGGCCGATCTTGTCCTCATCGCTGTGTCGCCTCAGGGCGGGGGGGGGGGCAGGGCGAACAGGGCGTGCGAACGGATTCCGGCTTTGGAATTAGAGTCAGAGGGAGGGATCCGCACCCGGTTCTTCCCACTGAGGCACTGAGGCGGGTGGCTCACCTTGGAGACATAGACCGTGAGACCCGACGCTGCAATAATGCGAAAAATCACCCCCAGAGCCCCAGTCCCCAGATCTCTGCGCCATCCTTTGAGCCTCGATCTGTGAGGGTCCCGGGGGCCCCGAGAGCAGGCGAACTTGCCCGGCCCGAAAAGAGTGCCCTGACTCCAGATCCGCCCCACTTTGGGGAAAATCGTAAGTAGGGCTTGGAATTTCCGCCCTACTTTTCAAGCCCCGCTGATGCCGATTTCCGCCCTAGTGTTCTGCTGCTGTTCCCGCCCTACTTCTGTGGATTTCCGCCCTACTGTATGTTGGGTGCAGAAATGCCCGCCCTACTTTTTTTCGGCTCCTCATAATTAGGTGGATTCCCGACGCAATTTTAAGCTGGAGAAAAAGAGCCAAGGTAGGGCGGATCTGGGGTCAGGGTGGGGGAGGAGGGCCCGGGTCGCGGAGAGGGCCGGTGGGGTCCTCGGTGGGGGGCCGCGGAGAGGGGGCCGATCGCGGAGGTGGCCGGGGCCGCGGGGAGCCGACCGGCGGGGCCGCTTCCGGGGAGCGTCGGGGGTCGGAGGCCAGCTGTGGGGGGCCACGTGCGAACCCTAAGCCCCTCCCCCCCCACGATTCCTGAGGGGGGAGGAGGAGGAGGAGGAGGAGGAGGAGGAGGAGGAGGAGGAGGAGGAGGAGGAGGAGGAGGAGGAGGAGGAGGAGGAGGGTGGGGTTCACTTCGCTCGGGAGCTGCCGAGCGAAGTGAACCCCACCCTCCCCCCTCAGGAGTCGTGGGGGGGAGGGGCAGGGTTCGCACGTGACCCCCTGCAGTTGGCGAAGAGGTGGGGTCGGGAGCGTGGTGGCCCAGACCTCCGACGTCGTGATTTTTGTTCGCGGCGTCGACCCCTAGAGGTCTGGACCCCGTCCCGGGGATCGGTTTTGCATCCCGAGTCGTCTTGTTGACGGTCCCGAGGCCTGGCGAGGGCCCCCAGAGGCCGAAAGTAGCGAAAAGCCTCCCGTCATGACTTTTTCATGGTCCGAGGGGGTCTGCGGTCAGGAGCGTGGTGATTGGCGCGTCGCACCGCGAGCTGCGGCACGCCACGCCGCGGGCTGTGGCACGCTGGCCACGCCCGGGTCCAAAGACGGGCTGCGTCCCGAGCCTTCTCGGAGGCTCCCTTCCCGCGGGGCGGGGCGACACGCCATTCCGCAGGCAAGGCGCAGCTTGTTCAGGATGCAACTCCTGGGATGTTGCAGTCAGCATCGGCGCTGGTATATCAATGGTCGAAAACAGCTGGCCCGATGCGGCATAATCCCGCCAGATTCCTCTCAATCCCGCCTGTTCCAGCGCAGTCCAGCGTGATTCTGAGCAGAATGGCCACTCATAGTCTGGCCTTGTAGCAGTTTCGCCGTCCACGCGAACCCAGACATGTGACGTCTTGACTGTTGCGATACGGAGTCCTCTTACCCAGGGCCAGTTTTTCGCCCCGAGTCGACTTTTGACAGTCCAGGGGCCCGGCGAGGGCCCCCGGAGGCCGAAAACAGCCAACAGCCTCGCGTCGAATTTTTGTTCACGACGCGAGTCCGAGTCCGAGCATGTCTGGTGAACGCCTCCCAGGAGACGCTTTCTAAGCGTGTTCCCGGGGTCCGCCGCCGCGGCGCGCAGAGCAGAAGTTCTTGGCCGTGTCAGAGACATTGTTTCATCCCCTGGCGTTCAGTCGGGCCTGTCCCTCTACAGGAGGAATACTCAAGATTAGTATAAAGAATAGGCTGGCGACGATCTGTTCTAGCATTCTATGATTATTTTCTTATGTTTGCATGTTTAGATCATTTTTGAAGTTTCGCCCCAAATCCGCCTGTAGGCGGACATGCACGACTTAATCCTGGCGATAATGGGCGTGACACTGGGGTTGGGCCGATTTCGTCATCATCCGCGCCGGCGCCGTCA